ATATGTAGTATCAAAGCAATTGGACTTGCGGTTTTTAACAAGAAGTCGAAAATATCACTTTTTACCAAAAATGACAAAAATATTCACCAAAATTAGAGAATTGAAGATATCAACATGAAATGAACAAACCTAAGAGAGGTCTACCCAAGGTACATATACACCAAGTATCAAAGCATTCAGGCTTGTAGTTTTCAAGAAGAAGTCGAAAAAGTAAAACATTGACACGGACGACGACGACGGACAATCACTCATATGATAAGCTCCGCTCGACAAAGTCGACAGCGGAGCTAAAAAATTGAATATAGTTTCAGTTTTTACTAAAAAAAAATCGGCCATTTTTGTCCCAATCTTCTGAAGGAAAGTGCAGTGACTACTGGTAGTTACATTCCCACAACCCAGCAGCAAGCTTTGATCTAATCATGATGTGTACTAAATATACCAACTTGTAAAATTACCTAATTAAACCATGGTAGTGTCTTTTTTTTTTTACATACCCATATCTTGAGCATGTAAGATGCAATGAACACCATCCCCTTTAAGGTATGTCCCCCAATACACAGTTGGCAAATCAATATACATGTACATGCGCAGTTGGACAAAGTATTTGCCATCAACACCGGATTCGTTTAAATAATTAGCAAAACAACAGTATATTGGCAAATCCATCTTTTGAATCTAATTGTAAAGTGAAGCAGGAGTCTGACACACTATTGGGTACTTGAGTATTAATTTGCTTCCAACAGGAAAACAATGTGAAGTCTGACCTAGTTACAGGAAATGCCTGAACTCTTCACCTCTGAACCACATAATCTTCCCAGAAGGCCACACTGTAATTCAGGGTCAAACTGTGCTGTGAGTGAAGGGGTGCTTTGTAAACAGCTTTCTCAATGCCAGTCAAACTTTAGAACAAAGTAGTTTCCCGTGCTTCAAATATATCAGTTTTTGACAAGACTAGAACAGAGTTGAATCATGGAACATACAGGTAAGTGCAATGACATGTTTAAGCTATTGAAAGGAATTGTTATGTCAGGATTCACAGCACTGGTACAATGTATGATAATCACACTTCACATTCCAATGCTTGGGATGTGTATTTTCAGTCAAATTGACATCGTTTTCATCCATGTACTGCAATATACTGACTCAGATTTGAATGAACAAAATTGTTATGTTTTCTAAATACTGTACTAACTGGTACAATGTACATGGTTGTAGGGAAATGATGAGTGAAAGTCAGCACAGCAGAAAAAATAATATACATCCTTGTCATGAATGAGAAAATCTAACCCCACACTCATGGGGTGAAAGGTCAGCTGCTATTTATTATAAGGGGTTGGCCATTAGAAACTTGAGGGGGGATAGCCAAAACATACAATTCTGCAGAGTGAACAATTTTACAGTGAGAATTGCAGTAAAAAACACACAACACAAACACATTTGTTGATGAGTGAACAGTAATGAAGGACAAAGTTAATTTGCATAGTTTTTCTACCATTTTCTTTCAAATGGTGAACCCTAAAACAGGAAGTTCTTTACCATGAACTATGACTATTAAAGTCAATTTCCAAATATTATTTTAAAAACATTCATTCTATCCAACATATGTTGTAAGGTCTGGTACAAATTTGTGATAAAGACCATAATGTAAGTATTCATAGACAAGTTGACACAAGAAAGGTCAACATTAAATTTTGCATTTAGAAAACAAATAATGCTTTTCATCAGGCAATGTGCTACTTAAAGTAGGATAAACTTTGAATTTACAAACTGTGTGTGTAACGGAAAGCATTGATGGTTGCACAAATCATAATGCCTAGATTACGGGCAGCATTTGGTTCCATAGGCAATCAAAGAGTGTAAACATTATTACCAGTCCTTATCATTGTGAAGGGCATATTTGACTAGGAGTTCAATCTATAGGTGTCATTTACAATTTATTTATAAGAGGTAACATACATGTAGATGTACCAAATTTTAATTTTTCAGAATTCACATTTGATGTCTTTACTAATAGGGAAAAATATCAACATTAAGCTTCAAAATTTTGTTGCCTACTATAAAAATTCAACTGTTTATTTATTTTCCAGATTTTCGTAAATAATTCGCTTTTAAAATTTTGACCAATCTGTTTTTAGTTTCTAAAATGTTTTTCTTCTTGGACCAATGTTTTACCAGAAAACTTCTCGCTCAACTGTCGGTACTCTTGGTGGAAGAATGTAAACATCAATAACACAGTCCCTGGAAATGTGCGTAGACAGAAACCAAAGAATCTTACTTTTCCAAGCTTTTATCAACATTGCTCATTATTCACTCATGGATTGATACCAAAATATTACTTTTTTGGTTAGTTTAGAAATACATGTAAACATATAAGTATGTTTCAGAACACTTTCATTGATTTCATACACATGCTGAAATAAGCCATATATCCTACACCATGTCATTTGACATGATATGTCAAGAATTCCAACATCTTCTGAGTATTGACGACCACAATGAATGCATCCCAGAAATAAAATGGGTGAAAAACACTGCAATCATGGAAGTATTAAAGCAGTTCTTTATACATCAGACAGGGATTGAAATAGAATTTTTTCCCTGCATGCATAATGTGCATGTTGAATTTGAAATTTACCTGCACCAACTTGTTGTGAAATGCACTACTTTCAAAGTTTAAAT